ATCGATAAGAGTAGGCGTCGGCCGCCACCCTGAAAAATTATAAATTTCCTACCAACAAAAGGATTAAAATGTCACGCGCGCTCATATGGCCTTACGTAGTTGCGAGCGCCGTAAAACACTTACAAAAAAAGAAGGTAAGAGAGTGGCGTCGGTAGCCTAGTGGTCAGGCTACCGGACCCGTAATTGTGATATTACCGGTTCGGGGTTCGAGCTTAAACTCGGTCGGACGTTGTGTCCTTGGGAAAGGCACTTAACACAGATTTCTCTTTTGGCTCTGTCCTTTCGGAGATGGACGTTAAACCCAGAGGTCCCGCCTCTTAAATAACCTAATAGTGTGGATAGGGGCGTTAAACCCATACCAGAGACAGAGAGAATGTAAAAAGAAACAGTCAGGTTTGACAAGTGCACACCAGTGAGCACCATCATCAACATTTACCTCCCATAGTATGTCTATCTGATTCTATTGCTACGATTTCAGTGTCGATAGTAGTAGTAGTAGTAGTAGTAGGAGGAGGAGGAGGAGGATGAGGAGTAGGTGGAGTAGTAGTAGTAGTAGTAGTAGTAGTAGTGGTAGTAGTAGTAGTAGTAGTAGTAGTAGTAGTAGTAGTAGTAGTAGTAGTAGTAGTAGTAGTAGTAGTAGTAGTAGTAGTAGTAGTAGTAGGAGGAGGAGGAGGAGGAGGAGGAGGAGGAGGAGGAGGAGGAGGAGGTGGAGTAGTAGTAGTAGTAGTAGTAGTAGTAGTAGTAGTAGTAGTAGTAGTAGTAGTAGTAGGAGGAGGAGGAGGAGGAGGAGGAGGAGGAGGAGGAGGAGGAGGAGGAGGAGGAGGAGGAGGAGGAGGAGGAGGAGGAGAAGGAGTAGTAGGAGTAGTAAGAGTTGTAGGAGGAGGAGGAGGAGCTCTTTTCAAAGCTCAGACACCTTTTTCATCAAAATTTTAATAATTGTGGGTGGTTTTCTGGAAATAATTATAAAAACGTGGCTTGGATTTTCAGTAAAAATATGAGAAAATTAGTAAACGTTGCTGTCGGGGTTGGCAAGTCTTTGGTATGCCTTGGTAGGTGGTCTTGTTGTTGTTGCTGCCGATCCGAGAATTATAATAGGAGATTTAACCAGTCAGTAATGTTAATGTTAGTCTACCCAGTGTAATGTGTTTTAAACTGAACACTGAAGATTCGAAAATTGAGAAGTTTGACCTAAGTACATCATGTGTATCAGTATCAGTAAATGTATTCAAGAGTATTACTGAAAGTAGAATCTAGGATTCTTCTAATTAAAAAGTATTCTTCAAATCTTTGAAAACAGAATTGAAAAAGATTGAGAAATAACATTTTATAGACTAAAATCTAAAAACGTCGACATCTCAACCGGAATCAGCTTTTTCCTGTTCAGAGTGTTTTGTCATAAAACATTAGTAACAGTGAGAAAAAAAGCCGATAATGCTGAGCTTAGGTTGTAATGTGCTAGGAGGATGCACGTTCAAGATTTATTACGACAAACATCTCAAACTGTCTTTGCAGTCCCCCTGTGCGGAACGCTAGGAGACTGCACAGCCCCCGAGTAGATCTAAGCAACGCTAGGGGACTTACAGTCCCTGCCTTTCATTTAAACAAGTAATTCAGTATCTATTCTTTCTTTCAATTAAGTTGAGTCAAAACAGATCAGTCGTTTTAGGTGAAAATGATGATAACAACAACAACAACAACAACAACAACAACGACAACCCAAGAAGAAGAAGAAGAAGAAGAAGAAGAAGAAGAAGAAGAAGAAGAAGAAGAACATCAACAACAACAACAACAACAACAACAACAACAACAATTACAACTACAACTACAACTACTACAACAACAACAACAACAACAACAATAACAAACAATAATAATAATAGTAATAATAATAGTAATAATAACAATAATAACAATAACAATAGTAATAATAATAATATAATAATAATAATATTATTATAATAATAATAATAATAATAATAATAATAATAATAATAATAATAATAATAATAATAATAATAATAATAATAATAATAGTAATAGTCATTATAATCTAATGATTTTTAAATGAAACTTCAAAATGTATAATTGCAATGCAAAATAGATTATACTGAGGTCAACAATTAGTGACGCAACGTATTGTCAAATATCTCCTCAACTATCGAACAGAAACTCTCCAGCTTTTGCACAGTGACTTGTATCAATTTGTCTTAACAGATCAATATTTTTGTAAATACCTGTTAGCTCTGTTCTAGAGCATTCCTTTATAAATACTTATTAAAAATTCTAGTTTGTGGGTTCTACTGATTTTAAGAGGTTTACAGTCGGGACAATATCACTTTTAAAAACAAGTCCGTCATTTTTTTCGAATTACGAGAGTATCTTTATTGAAAGTATGTTTTGAAAACTTTTAGTGTAACAAAAATGTTCACTATAGAATTAATCATTTGTTAATAGTTTTGCCACTAAAAGTGTCGTTTGTGAGCTGTGGCGTAAGCCGTATGCGTACGCAAAATGTGTGTGAGAAGCAGGAAGTGCTGTAAACAATTTCATTTTCACGTGAAGCAGATTTGTAGTATTTTATATAAATTAAATGAAGAAACGTTTTTCCAACTATTTAAAAAAAAAGCTTGTAACAAAATTGTTGCCCATTATGTTGGTTTCTCTAAAAAAAATTGAGGAGGTTTACAATTTGTCCAACTTTCAGCACATGATTACTGTAAAACTTGTATTGAATTAGTAATGATATATAGTATCTTGGAATGACAGTGTAACCAGAGCACCCTTATACAAATATTATACATAAATGTATTATTTAAGCAAAAAGTATGCATTATTCGTCATAAAACTTTGATTGCCATGGCCATGGCTAAACCAACTTTGGACCCCTCATTTATAAAAATTCTCGCCCCGCACCTGATATAATACATTTTAAACGTTTGAGGAAAGCATAATATGTTTTTTAAATTTAAACATTATTACGGCTTTGGCGACTCTGTGTATTGTCAAAACTGTTGTGAAAATCATGAGTAGTGTTTTTCACAACTGCTGTTTTCTAGAGCTAATCTAGGTAAACAATCACTTCTGTTACACACGAACACGTGTGTTCGCCCAATGAACAAGAGAGCGGTACTGTAATCTGTCAGTAATTATCAAGAGTCATAGGCGTGTACCCTTTTTTTTATCCATTTGGGCTGTGTGGTTTTAATATTTTGAATTTTTAACTTGCTGAATATCATATTGCGATGAAGATGAAGTCTAAAAGTTAAAACTGAAATTCTTTACTCACAAGAACGTTGCTCTGAAAGTATATAACTATTTCATTTGTGAGAAAAATCGCGGTCGTCTAAATCGTTCAATTTCTTATCCATTTAGCAGAACTAAACATTTGCTTGATTTAAGTGACAGGACTTACAACAGATGGATATCGGAGGAAAGGGCAACCAAAGACGTCGAAGTGACAAAGAGAGACCGACCTGTTAAATGTGATACCTTTGACAGAGATTTCGTGGGACGCGCTATTGGAAAGATGCTAGGTAATAACCAGTACGTCACACTTAGAACACGTAAGTCTTATTTAAAAAGCAATCACGATTTGGATATCAACAGACTTTATGGCGGATTGCGAAGAGTCTAGGTTATAGTTTCAAGAAGACTGAAACATCCAAAGACGTAATTTGTGAGTCAAAGAACATGGTTGCACTGAGGGGGAAGTACCTACGAAAATTAAAACAGCTTAGAGAAGACAACGTTGACATTTATTTTTTTGAGGAGTCCTACATCAATGCCCACCACACGTGCACTAAAGAATGCCAATCTGACACCCAACAGATAGTCATTCCGACTTGAAAAGGTAAACATCTTATAATTGTGCATATCAGAAGCCATGAGAGAGGACTAGTGAATAATTGTGAACTAGTTTTTGAGTCAAAGTCGAAAAAGGAAAATGGCAACTATCACAAAGACATGGATAATAACGAGTTTGAAAAGTGGATTAGTAACACGTGGTGCCTGCATTAGATAAAAAAATCATGCCTGGTTATGGACAATGCATCATATCATAATGTAACTAATCCTGATGATAAAGTGCCTACAAAATCTATGAACAAAGGCCCTATAATAGCCTGGTTTGATAAGCATGGGATGGACCATAGTACAGCGAAAACCAAAAAGTATCTCCTAGACATTGTGAATGCCAGCGAACAGAGCACGATAGAAGTTTTTCGAGTAGACAAGTGCCTGGAAGAACATGGTCACATACTTCTTAGGCTCCCTCCTTACCACCCTAAGCTTAACCCTATTGAATTAATCTGGGCTGAGATGAAGAAAAACGTTGATTTGGCAAATACAACATTTGATCTCCATGACGTTAAGCGACACCCAAAGGAGGCCTTACCAAGTACCAAGTATAGCCAGAGAATGTTGGCAAAAGTGTGAGGGCCATGTCAAAGCAACAGAGGAAAGATACTTGATAAATGATGGATTAAATTTCCCTAAGCAGTCTAGTGTAGTCATCAACCTGATTGACAATATATCTGATTCTGAATAATTGGTGAGTGCTAAAATATGTTTAAATGTGTCCCGTAGATCTGTCACTATCTCTCTATAGATTTGTCTGTCTATCTGTGTAACCATCAATGTCGCTTCAGATAATGGTTATGAAATTTGTTCAGAACTGGCGACGCCTACGAACATCCGAGAAACTAGCAGTTTGTCCCATTTTCAGCACGTGATTACTGGGAAACTTGTATTGAATTAGTAATTATAAATTGTAATTAATTAACCAGCCACAATTTCGGAAAATTGATTGCATTTCCCAGTGGATCAGGTGGATACTAAGCTCTTCTCAAAATATGAAGGCGATCAGTTGGGTAGTCTTTGGGATATCCTGCGTCAAACATCGGCAACATTTTTGTTACAAGTTTATAGCCTCAACTGTTGTGGAAAAATATGATTAAGTTAAGACAAATTGAGACAAACCGCAATGCAAAGTATGAGTGACA